TTTTTTTTTCGTATTTCTGAACACCTTTTGACTCTGTGGAAGTTGGAATTATATACATAAGCCTGATATTGCACGTCGATCTATCAGAACGCTTAAGGTCATTTCTCGCACTTCATTATGGATCGTTGGAAGCATCGATTGACTGAATGTCATAATGCATCTGCTGTCAATCTATTACGCAGTTATCTCGATTCAAGAATTGATTGGAAGAAAAGCGTTGTTGAGAAGGTATTTCAATCTGTTTTCTTTCCTTCCAATAAAACCTTTTTTATTTTTTCAGCGGTGCAACTCTTGCGGCAGCCGCAGATCTCCTGAAGCGAAGATTAGTTGCAGCAGTTGTGAACTTGTGGTTCACTACTACTGCACTCGTCCAAAACTGCAAGAAAAGCCAGTCAGGTCGGTTTTATATTTTACTATAGATCTTTTCAATTTTCGCATTTTTTTTCTTAAAAAAAGCTCTTTAGTTGGTTATGCGCTACATGTAAACAAAACGAAGCTAAAAAGATCAAAGAAGAAGCTGCCGGTCTACGTGGTGCAGTGAAACCCAACTATAAAGAGGATGATGGGGTTAGTGGCGATGAATCTGACGAAGAGGAGAGCGACGCCTCGGGTAGCGAGGATGACGATGACTTCTTTTCGAAAAAGGTCTGCATAACTTATCAAGGGTATTTTAACTCTGAAAAGCCTAATCTATAAATTAAGCCACGTCGAACGACTAAGCGAAAAGGCTTCAGTATATTTGACGACGAAGTGACAGAAGATAAGGCATCAAGAGCAAAACGAGCAAAGGTGAACAAGGTTGCAGAGGTACGGAGTTGCACAACTTTCTTTTTGCATATAGGGAGCCAGTTGCACTGTAACGCATTACTTTATTACATTATTCTTTTTGATGACTTGTAAACTAAATCATATATGACTTTCTTTTAGGATTGTTTGGATCTTCTAAGTCGTGTCAAGTCCGCGAATCGACTATATCGCGCTCTGCAAGCTATCCCACCTGGTCGAGCAACGAGAAGAGCTACACCTTCATCTATCACTAGTCTTGAAGAGGGAATACCTCAGGTACGACAGATGACCTTTTACTGTCAATTGACAATATAGAATACGTACTTACCCAATATGTATCTAGTATGCGTCGCTGTCATCTTTCGCCGCTGATTTGGACTCGTTCTTCAAATATGCGCATTCTTACTTGGAAGAGCATAATGAGCGAAAGATGGAAGATCTCGAGAATTTGCTTAGCGAGTTAGAACTTGATTCTATAATTAAAGTAAACTAATTGGCATACTTTTGTACT